TCCCCCCCCCCCCCCAACAGGCAGATCAGCGCCCTGGCTTTGCCTGCCCTCATGTCCCTGCTCGTGGATCCCATCCTGTCGCTGGTAGACACGGCGTACGTCGGGCGAGGCCTGGGTGCGATCAGCCTCGCTGCCCTCGGTGCGTCTCTTGTTATATTTCTCTTGCTCTCCGAGTTCGACGGCGTTCCTGCCGGCCTCTTTGCGTGCCGTCCGTATGTTGTTTGCTGCGCGTTGAGGCTCTGGCTATTAGTTGAAAAGCTGCCGGCTCAGAGTTTCATGCACGTCACGCAGCTGGGCGATATTTTGAGCTGTTCCTCAATCGTGGTGGCGATCTGCCGGTGGAAGCCCCCCTTGTTGTTCTGCTGCTGTGTAGCTGCAGCGATAGCGACGACAATGTAGGCCAAAATGTCGTTCTGGCTCTTGCGGGTTCCTCTGTCCGCGGATCAGCCTTCTCTTCCTTTCCCCAATTCTCACCTCGTGTTCGGTAGCTTTTGCTGTTGCTGTCGTCGTTGTCGGTGTTACGCTGCTGCTGCTGGAGCAATAGTGTAGTGTGTCGTCGGTGTGTACAGTTGCTGGGTTTGCTGCTGTCGTTGTCGGCGTTTTCTCGACGTTACTCTGTCTCTTGGGTTGCTTGTCTGCCAGCTTGCGGTCGGTCGGTCCGTCTTTGTTCTGTGTATCTCCGCCTCTCGCTCTCCTTGCGCAACACCCCACCGACCCCCCCCCTAACCGCCATTTGTCCACAACGACCCACTCCGGCCAGGCCCGTGCACGAGCATCTTCCACTTCTCCTTCAACACGTTCCGGTCGCTGACCCAGAGCACCACGGCCCTCGTCGGGAAGAGCCTGGCGGCGGGAAACGAGGAAGAAGCAGGTATTCCTGACTCAGAAGGCATGTTTTGGGCGTGAATGACGACCGGGAAAGAACATCGAGCGGAGTCAAACCTGATGTGGAGGTTTCTGTCGGTGTTAGTGCGACGAGAGCGTCGGTTGCTCTGTGCCCCGGTGGCTCTGGTGAACGTGACCATTGACGCACCTCCCTCCTGTTCCGCCACGCCTTTGCCGCCCGCTCTTGCCACACATGCCCGCAACGTTTCGAGCGCTCTCTCGATTTTTGTTTTTGCCGTTTACCTCGCACTCTCCTCTTGTCTCCTTGCGAGCCCCATCCCCATTCCCCGTGATATAATCAGTGTCTTTGGCTCTGCTAAGACTATTATGCTGTATAACGCAAGAACAGGTCCCTTGTTGGAGATTGCTTGGTGTGTCATTTTCAGCAAGTGGCAGATTTGCTGAAAAGAGGTGCGCACTAAATGCAAGACAACATGCTGGAGATGCAGATCAGCAGTCCATGTTGGCCAGTGATGATGTGCAACAGCAGTAGTTCAGCAGTGACCAAGCACGGTAACAATGGCGTGCGCCACGCTCAAAAGTACTTTACTTGGGGAAACGACACAGCCGGGTATACCCTGGTCGAAAAGCCACTCAACTGGGCACGTACTATTTAGCAACGTGGCAATGCACCCACACGATGGGTCAACGCCCACTTTCACCCGGCCGCGTCCTAACAAGTGCGGGGTATACCTTGCCATGGCTTTCGGAAATATACCCTGGAGCTGACGGGAAATACAAGCTGGTTCAGGGAAATGGACCAAAATTTATTCAACCACTCCTGCCAGACGAATTTTGTACATAATGTTGACAAACGCAGTATTATAGTGACCCCCACGAGTAAAGGAACAAATCGTCGTGGCCGGAATTTTGATTTAAGGCTTCGCTGGGAAGATATGGGCTATTACGTGCCTCAGCCAATGAGGAGCCTCCAAATATTTCGATGATATGCAGGCTTTTCCCAAAACGGGGACAAAAAACATAATTACGCCGCATTTTTTTTTGAAAATCTCAGCCGTTGTCGCAGCTCCTGTAGCACCGGTGCTGCTGTTCAACCAGCTGAGTACCTCTGCACACGCGTCTCGTACGCAAGGAGACCCTCCACAATGGAGCCACTACAAAGTGTGGATCCCAACGTTGACACCCACAAACGCAAAGTATCGCAAGTTTGCGCAATGCAGTGCAGCAACACGAAGCGTTGGAGGCTCAGATGCACGTATCACCCACGGCCACATGCCACGGGCATTCGCAAGAACACCGCCTTCAAGTATGAGACGAAGGCGGAAGCGCTCGGAGACGCGGACAACTGGACAAGTGAGCTGGAGAAGCCCATGCGAAGGCGGAGCTTGTCGCCCAAGCACGGTGAGTCTACGATTGCTGAGCGGATCTTGCTGCACGTAGCTACTGCTGCGGCAGTTGCTGTACAGCAGTACTGCTGTACAACCGCAGCAGCAGCAAAGCGGCAGGGTGTGTACTCCGTGGTGGGTTGAAACATGCAGCAAAGTAGCAACCAGGCGGGCGCGTTGCTAGCATGGTGGTGACATGTGCAACAACACTAGCCGGCGTTCATGCGTATGGTTGGTGCGTGTTTTCCATGACAAGTGGAGCTGTGTGAAAAAACGGCAAGTTGCAGTACAACAGCATCCATATGTATGTACTGGAGAACCTTGACACGAATCCCGTTGTTTGCATCGGACAATCTTGAACAGTAGACGAGTTGTACAGCATGCAGCAGTGCAGTACTACTTGTATTGATACAAAATAGTATAGTGTATTGTACAACCCATCTCTAATTTGTACTTCTAATATAACACAGCAGTGCTCAGCAGCACGCAAGTGTACATACAAGAAGCACAAGGTGGTTATACACGCCAGATCCGAACTTGTGTTTACAAACTGCCTCTCTTTTATTGAACGCACCAGGTTATACAGCAGCAGCACGCAATTGTACAAGAAAACATTGTGTGCAAGTCAGGCCCGAACTTGTATACATGCAACCCGTCTCAAAAACAAGGTGCCCAACTCTTACAAGTCGCGTCCAGCAGCAACCGACACAAGGGCATACCGCACCCACAGATAAACACAGACACCAACATTGGCTTAGAGGGGCTGCCGTATTGCACGACGGGAGGCTGTGTGTTTTGCAGAGTACAAGGATTGACATTCACGGGTTATTCTTCAATTTGAGTAACGGTCCTCTAGCAGGCGCTCTTTGTTTTTTTCTACCAAGACACAGTCCTTCTATCCAAGCTCTATCGCACAGTTTAATTAACAGCCATACTATCGCCGTATGTTCCGGTCTGTCCTCCGTTAAAATTACCCCCCACCGGTGTTCAGGCACGACGCCGAACTGCAAAGTCGCCAAGAAGTGTGCCATCCAAAAACAAGCGGAACGCGCCAGAGCTTTGAGGGGGTTGCAGCAGGAGGTCAGAATCCTGGTGCGCCTACGCTGCAGCAGGTTGCGTAACGCCGGACTCGGGCGCCGGGCGTTTGCGTACGTCAGGCGCGATCGCAAATCAGAACAGCGGAGGAGATACATGGAGCGGCGGGTTGCAGAGTGCGACCAGGAGGCTGCTGCAATGGACGCACAGGCCGTGGCTATGTTCTCCACGCTAACGAAGGGGCAACACGTCACGCTGCTGGAGCCTCACGAGCAGCCACACCCGGTGACTGATGCACCCACGAGCGACATCAGCGTGGCCGACCCTCCGGAGGTTCTCGCCGCACACGCAGCGGCCGCGGTGTGACCCTCAGCAAACCGGTCCATGCATGTTGGCATGTTTGCGTTCTCGGTGCATGAATCAACAGTGTTTTATCACCCAGTTAAGCTGGCACAAGGCCGCGCTGCGATGATAAAAAATCTCTCTTCGGGGCAGCACGGTCGGTGTTTCCGTCTAATAAGTAGGTAGATTCTTGCAGACCCCAACATGCCGGTAACATGGCTGTTTGTGATTCTTTCTCTAACCAACGACACCGTCAACGACACCGTTACAGTGCAATGAAGCTTCGCATGGAGTTTCGTCGACATCGCCCATAAACTGGCCTAATACGGTTGAAAAATGGTCGATTTATGACTTGCCGTCGGTGGGCCAAACTGCGTTGGAGATCGTTTGCGGGACCCCAAAAATCTGTCCCAATATGTGATTTTTTTTTTCTCTTGATTCCACCTTACCTATATATTCCAAAGACCGTGTCTATGAATTTTCATGAACTAGTTCGATAAACTGATGAAATGGGGTCGTTTGGGCGTCAAAAGAACCTGAATGTCGCCGTTTTATACTTTAATCAAGTAGTTTGGGGAAATCCAGGATGCGAAATACTTCATNAGGACCCCGGATATCCGGCGACAGGAAAAAAAAAAAAGGCCCCTCCACACAGCGTTTCGTAATGACCCAAGGTACATGTGTGCAAAGTTTCAGAGTCTAACTCCTAAAAACGGCGTGAAGTTTTGCTGTTGAATCTTGTTGTATCAATTTCCCTGAACCAGCTTGTACTACCCTTTCATAAACCTTTTCCTCCGTAGGAATCCTTTCCCAATCCTTTTCCTCTCCAACCAGATATCAAACAGCGACCCTTGCCGCACAACAACAACGAACCATGGCAACTAGGCAGAAATCGATCAGGACGGAGTTTGCACCTCTGCAAAACAACGCCAACCATCAACTCTTCCTGCTCTAAACAAAAAACGGCTGGGACATGCCAGCACAATTCCGCTTTCAAACGTGCAGGGTGTTACGCACGTACGTAGTTACATGTAGATACCTTCGCACAGGCCGGTGTCTTGGGCACAGGGGGAGGTGTGTGCTCATAGTCGTGCATGCCGTAGTCGTTAGACCATTGACCTCGCATCCCTACAAAGCCGGGACGGAGCACGCCGGGTTCTCACCGGACCAGGCTCTCACATCACCAAGCGCGAAGCGCCGTGAGATATTCGGCGAGTCGCATGAAGGGTGCGCTGCATCCTGCTAAGGGTGTTCGGCATCTTGTGCTTACTTCCTTGCGTACGGATGACAGCTGCGTATGAATTAATTTATTTTCTGGTGCTTTCACTTCCAGAGACAGTTGTAAGCACTGTGTAACTGCCTCGAGGGTGCTTGACAATTTGAACAGGACTTGGTGCGATCATCCCCCTTGCGCGGAGTGAGGGTTCTCCACCCCGCGCA